TTGTGCGGGGAAACCTCACCGAGAAGGTGACGTTTGAGCAGAACCCCGAAGGAGGTGAGGGTGAGGCAGCGGATGCCTGAGGGAAGCGCCCCCAGGGGCAGGAACAGCCGGTGCAGAAGCCGGGAGCCAGCGCCCTGATGCGAGGGGGTCGGTCATTCCCGTGTCATCAGTGACCACTCCAGTGCCAGGCTTCGGCGCTGGGTTTCTGTCTCTGTCGAGTTTTTGAAATAAATAGATTGGGGTGGGGGAGGGTCTTCATTTGCTACGGCGGTTAGAATAGGTTTTGGGAAAATAGGGTGAAGGCAGGTTTTCACTCCCGTTTCCCAGATCAGGAAACCGAGGCTCAGTGAAGCGGGGAGGGGGGCTCAGTTCCTGTACTGCTCCAGCTCCCTCGCGTCACCGCACGACGACCATTCAGGGCAAGAGGGGGAGGTGCCTTGCCTCCAACCCCATCCCCTACCCAAACTCGCCCCGCACCCCCACCCCCCGCTAGCCTTGTCCGGGCTTCTCAGCCCGCTCAAGTTCTGAGTGTGGTCAGGTCCTAGAGCTGAGAGGGACGATCCGGGGCTCCAGCAGCAGTGAACAACGCCCCCTTCCCACCACCCACCACTCACGAGGCGGGGAGATAACCCGCGCCAGCAGCAGTGCCGCAGTGCCCACCAGACGGCGCTCCAGGACCGCTAGTTAAAGGCGCTTTGGGCACTGGCCCAGAGCCAGAGGCTCCGCCGGGCCTTCCAACGCCAGGCTGGGAAAGGGAACATTCCTGGAAGGCAGCGCTCCTTCCAGTGAGGTCCTGGGACCAGCAGCATTAGCATCACCCGGGACTTGATAGAAATGCATATTCTTGGGTCCGCTGCAGACCTACGGAATCGTTTGGGGATGGGGTCCAGCAATCTGTATTTTAAAAGGTCCTCCAACTGATTCTTAGGCACCACCAGTTTGAGGCCTGATTATCTGCTGGAGCCCTAGAGTAGGGTTCTCAGCTCCGGGTGCACACTGGGCTCATTCCTGAAGCTGTAGCTCCGGATGCCCCAGCCACACCCCGGACCAGCTCTGAGTGCCGGCTGGGTGTGGATGGTTGAAAGTTCTACACAGCAGCCACGACTAGGAACGGCTGTGCTAGGAGTCCCGACAAGGGGTGAGATGTGGAGAATTGGCTGCCTCTGATATATAACAGGATTAAGACGAGATGACATCTGTTGGGGTTGATTTGAGCTCTAATGTATCTTCTTCAGTCTTCTCAGCAATCCTGGGAGGAGAGCTCTATGATGATCACTCTTTCAGATGAGTTAAGGAACAGAGAAGTTAAGTAACCAGCCAAAGGTCACACAGCTTATAAGGGGCAGTGCTGGAGGTGAGATGAGCATCCTCACTCCAAATCCCTCCTCACTCTGTCCCTGAATTTCCTCTTTCCCTGTCACTCCACTATGGGGCCTGGAAAGAGGGATCCAGAAAGTCCTGCCAGTTGCAGGGAGGCATTTCTATGTCTGTGCTCCATTGTTTTCTCTTTGGTTACAGTTAGGGAAGGCTGGGCCAGTCCAGATAAAGGCTGATTTAGCGTCAAAACTCTAGTTTTCTGTGGGGCTTCCTCCCTGAGAATCCCAGCCGGTTTGAAACCACCCCAGGAGGTACCAGCAGGCTGCACTGGGGACTGGGCCCCTACTGGCACCACCTGAAAACCCTTGGATTGAAGGTAATACTGAATGCCCTGGTACCCTCTCAGGTTATTCAAGTTTCCTCCCGCCTCCTAGGCCTCGCTGGATGCTCATGCTGGGGATGCTGGGAACAGGAGGGACAAACTGAGAATTAGCGAAGGTGGGGTGGGGGAGGGAAGGGACAGATTTACCTAAAGTCTCTGAGTCTCTCTAGGTCTCTCTCACCATCTCTGCTCCCAGCTCCTTTCACCTTCCAGCATCCCAAACAGGCCAGGGCCCCCGTGGTAAGGAGGCCACTAGTCCCCAAGATGGGCAGTAGCCACGACAGACAGCCCCTACTGCCACCCAGAGTGCTCACTGGCCACTCAAGAGAGAGCTCCACCCAGTTCGGTTATTCCCCTGCCCAACCCCCCAAAATCCATCCCTCCAAGTGGAGTTCAAAGCCCACTGCGGGCTTTCTTGCCAGGTTATGAGCTGTGAACTACACCCAGTGTGAAGGGGTTCTTAGTATTACAGCAAGTGAACCCATGTGACCTCTTGCGGGGCGGGGGTGGGAGAAGCCGTATCATTCCTCAGTTCCAGGGAAAAAACTAAGAAATTCAGGCCAGGCTGCAGCCACAGGCAGGACAGAGTTGGCCTCAGATCCCCTCCTCCGTGAATGTCCTTTTCTCCTGCCCCCAGTGAAGCTGGCGTCTGGTTATTGCTATTTTTCACTGGTGGGGTCGGGGTTGGGGGACACAAACAATACAGAGAGATGTTCCCCAGCTCCCACGGGGCCTTAGCAACCCCTCTCTCCAGCTGTAACTACGGCGGTACACTCCATACTACTACACCCCACCTTGTTTGGGCCTGTTCCTATTGCAATGATTTGTCCCGGATGCTTGATGAAAACAGATTCCTGGGCCCTGGCTGGGTGGCTCAGTTGGATGGAGCATCAGCCTGTGGACTTGGTTGCAAGCTCAATCCCCCTGATGTGTCTCTCTCACATCAATGTTCCTCTCTGCCTCTCCCTCTCCCACTCTCTCTGAAAACACACACACACACACACACACACACACACACACACACACACACACACACACACACACACCAGGTTCCTGGGCCACACAGCCAGCACTATCAAACAGCTCTGGCACAGAAGGCCCCCCAATCTGCATTTGGACTCATTTCTTCAGTGAGTTTCCTTCGCCTTGTAAACTGCATGAAGTGTATAAACTGCAGGCCCTGGGCCCATGGAAACAGCAGAACCCAGGAGTGTGGGGATGGCAAGCAAAGTGACATAAGCACAGGTCACCACCATGGATTATGGAGGGGACACAAGGGCGTGACAAAATTACCCTGGAGCGGTCTTCAGCTGCCAAGTCCAAAGCCAAGAAACAAATTTGTAAACATTTTTATTTACACATTGTAAGTTCCAGGGGGCCATCAATGTGAGGTGTGCAGGGGAAAGGGGCAGGAGAAAGGGGGAGAGGAAGGAATTTCTCCCCCGCCTCACTCCCAGGCCTGGTTTCAGGCTGAGCACCTAGAGTTGCATTTGAGGAAATTAATGCAACCCCATTGTACAGGCTTCTTTCTTTACATTCCTTGGGTTACTATAAAGAGTGTTCATTTAAAAAAAAAAAATCAACGCATGGAAGATAAAATTTTAACAAGAAAAGAAAGAGGGGTGTTAGGTGGAGATGGGAGGGGAGCTGCCTGCGCTTGCTCTACCTCCATTTTCACGGGTGGAGGCAGAAATAGCACCTCTGTCCAAGTGCAGGAAGGGGAGGGACAGGCCCTGAGTGGCCGATAAGGTGGCAGGTGGCAGGGTGCTCCACGGCTTCCGTGCCCACCTCACAGCAGGTCCTCTTGCTCTTCCTGTTCTGCTTCTGCTCTGGCCTGGGCCCTCAGCACCCTGAGGCTCCTGGCCTCGCCGGCCCTGGGGACTCTCTTGGGCAGGGTTGGCAACCGGGGAGTGTGCCAGAAGGCTCTCCTGCGCTTGCGAAACCACGAAAAGCGCCCAGGGGTCTGGAACCTCACTGTCTTGACCTGTTTCCGGGCCCTAGCTTCTGGGGTTGCTCCTGTGGCCCCCTGGGCAGCTTCAGCTTCAGGAACAGCTGGGGCCTCTGCCCTCAGATTATGTGCAGCTTCTGCCCTTTGGTCTGCTCTGGCCTCTGCCCCATCAGATGCAGCCTCTGCTGCCTGGACAACCAGGGCCTCTGCCCTCTGATTATCCACAGCCTCTGTCCCCTGGTCAGCTATGGCCTCTGCCCTTTGATTAGCTACAGCCTCCATATTCTGATTACTTGCAGCCTCCACTCTCGGACCATCTGCCGCCTCTGCCTCCTGATTATCCGCAGCCTCCACGCTCTGATCACCTGCAGCTTCTGCCCCCTGATTATCCACAGCCTCCACCCTCTGATCATCTGCAGCCTCTGACCTCTGATTATCCACAGCCTCTGCCCCCAGGCCAGCTATGGCCTCCACCCTCTGATCACCTGCAGCTTCTGCGCCCTGATTATCCACAGCCTCTGCCCCCTGGCCAGCTATGGCCTCCGCCCTCTGATCATCTGCAGCCTCTGACCTCTGATTATCCACAGCCTCTGCCCCCTGGCCAGCTATGGCCTCCGCCCTCTGATCAGCTGAAGCCTCTGCCCCCTGAGCTGTGGGTGCTGCTTCCTCCCTCCTGTGCAGCTTAAATGAGGCCCAGTTGATCTTGGGCCTCCATCGCCTTGGGGGGGCCTCAGGCCCCAGCCCATCTCCCGCGCTCCCCGCTTCAGCCCCCTGACTGGCGCTCCCTGGCACCTCAACCCTCTCCACGCTGGCAGAGGCCTGCTGGGCCTCGCCCGCCCCAGGGCCGGGCCTGGGCGCCCAACCCTTCACCCTCCGCTTCAGCTTCCCCCAGGACACCTGGCTGACGTACTCCCGCCACCGGTCGGCTTTGGACGGCCGGGGCCCCGGGCTGTCCTCAAACATGGGCACCGGCAGGTGGACGCGGCGGCGGGCGGGCGCGCTGGGCTTCTTCTCCCCCCGCCGGAGGAAGGCGGCCACCAGCTCCTCGTCATCGTCGCTGTCCAGGTCGCTCCCCAGAAACTTGCTGCCCAGGTAGCTGACGGGCATTTTGCGCACCTTCGGGCCACGCGCCGCGCCCTTGCGGCCGCGGGCTCCGCGCTCTCCCGAGGTCTCGAAGTCGCTGAACTCGCTGTCGCTGGCGTTGCTGCTGTCATAGGTGCCCACGACCAGCCGGGGGGGCGGGGTCACCATCTGCTGGACTCTCCGCCTCACTCGGGGCTCTTTAGGCTTTTGGCGGGGCTGGGGCGGGTGCGGGGTGCTCTTCTCAATGATGCGGGCAACGTCCTCCAGGGTGCGGCCCTCTTCCTCCAGAAACTGGGTCAGCCGCTCCCGAAATTCCGCCTCCTTGGTGGCGGGCTTGGAGATGACCCTCCAGACGCCGCCGGCCAGCCTGACCTCGCGGGGAATCAGCAAATAGTCCACGTCCTCCCCAATCTGCAGCATCCCCACGGTGGAGTCCACCTCCCTGCGGAACACCTTGCCGATCTTCTTAAAGGTCCCCACGGGCTTCAGGGCTTCCACCAGGACGTCCAGGTCCACATCTTTGCAGACGTCGGGGACGCTCCAGAGGATCAGGCAGTCGGGGGACGGGAGGAAGCCCCAGGGGAACCAGCCCCCCACGTGGCTTTTCTCGAGGGTCTTTAAGATCTCCAGCGTGAAATCTGGGGTGGGGGCCCAACGAGCCCAAACTGCACGAAGCCCCTAGTCTTGGGGGTGGGAGTGGGGATGGGGTCCCCGCAGTGCTGCCCCGAGAGTCTCACTTCTCCTGCGGGGAGGAGTCAGTATCAACCAGTTAGTTTCTCCGCCTGCAACAAGTCCTATCTGGACCAAGACTCCCCCCACCGAGTGGTGGGAATCAATTTTCAGGATGCTTACGTGAGCCGGGTTGAGGTCAGTCCTGAGGCTCAGAGCCCACTGCGAGCTGAAAACGTGGTGTCCCAGCTGCCAGTTGGGGCGCACGGGCTGCCCAGGGCTCTTTCTGGCCCGGGCACCAGGGACGCGCCTGGAACTTGGGAGAGGACTTCGCAGACAAAGACGGCTCAGCCGCGGCTATTCAATATGGCCGAGGCCGAGGAGGAGGCAGCCCAGCCCCCCGGGAGGGTCTCCCGCCCCTCGGCAGGCCGCCACCCCCGTCCAGGCTGACCTTGACGCGCCGCCCGCCTCCCAGCCCGCGCGCCGAGTCTCCGAGCTGGGGGCAGGAAGTTCCTCCTCCCCTCCCCCAGGGTGAGGCCCACCTTCCCCCTTCTCATCTTACACGGGAAGACTGACAGGGGGGCTGTCCACTCCCTTCGGGGCGCCCGCACTCCCCTCCCGCACGGGGGTGTGGCCGCGCCCCGGCCTCGCTGGGGCCACCGCTTCCAAGCGCAGCGCGCGGAGGCCCACGTCAGCGCCTTCCCAGCACTGCCCACAATGGCTATTTGGGGGGAGGGGGCCTGGGGACCCCCAGAGGTGGCAGAGACATGTAGTTTTCTACATCCTTTTGGATTGCTTGGATTTTTAGCAATCAAAATGTTAATTAAAGACTTAAATTAAACCAAAAGTCCTCAGACTTGGCCACAGACTCAGTGGGTCAGGATAGCTGGGCCGCGCTGGCCAGGATTTACAAAGTTTCCCAGGTGACACTGAGGGAGCCAGCTAGCTCAGCAACCATCTGCACAACAACAGCCTTAGTAATCATAACAGTTAACTTGCACGGAGGGTTTCCTTGAAACCAGACACCCTGCAGTGTGCTAAATAGGTTTGTTGTTACGAATCCTCAGAGCTATCATCTTCTTACAGATGGGGAAACTGAGGCCAGTCTGAAACAGGATAGCTGTTACTGTTTTTATTCCAGATACATTGTTTCACCTTTCTCCTTTCCTACTAGCCTCTGGAAGCCCAAGGAATCGTGTTTTGTGTTCTCTTGGCCATAAGATCTGATAACACCCCTTTTTAAAATAATGCAACCCATGGAAGTGGTTTTCAGAATGTTTCTTAGCAGCCAGGTTGTTTTTCCAAATTAAATCTAACATGGTTCCCCTGACATACCAAAGAGCAGATGCGTTGCATTAGCTACGTTTATTTTATGTTTGTACAACACAGCATCAACCACAGGAACAAGGAAGAGATTTAACTGAACCCACTTTTGAAATCAGGGGTTTCCAAAGGCCAGCTGCTGCCTGCCATCGGCCAGCACATCCAGCGTACATGGGGCTTTCTGTTTAGGGTCTGCTATGCCGGCAACGTCTTGATTCACACAGATAAGTCTCTTCGAATGGCACCAGTTTTGCACAACAGCTTGCGTTGCGATCTCAGGAAACTCTTCAACCGGTCCAGAAAAGCTCCAAAGAGAAGCGGTAGGAGACGAGGATTTTGCAGGCAACACTGAACCCACTCACTCTGTGTATGGACAGCCCCCGAAATCCACAAGTACAGTCTTAGTGCCGCAATAGGACGCTAAGAAATGGCGCACTGCCCCTTGTTACCATACGACTGTGCCTTGATGGGAGAACAGCACGCGATGAGCAAATCCGCCTGAGGTTTGTGTAGCAGTTATGGAAGCTCAGATTCCGGGGAGCAACAGTGAACACAGCAATACAATATTCTGCGAGGGGCGTGGCCGGGCGGGACATTTACAAAGAATAGAAAGATCAAGAGAGGGCTCTAAACTTCCACACCAGGATGCACTGAGGCTTGAGGGTAGAGAGTCAGTTTGGGGGATGGACAGAAACCAGAGCCTTCTGGGTTTTAGGTTATGTCAAGGCAAGTTGACTCTAAAAATTCCTTCTGGGTCTTGACAGCTGCTGGGAACGCAAGGACCTCCCAGGCGTTTCTGACGGCCCGCGGGTGGGGTGGAGGTGAGACCCCCACCTACAGGCTCTGCCAGGGGGGCAGAAACGGGGTAGCCTCTCAGGAACAAGAAAGGGGGCTGGGCGCTGGGATTCGCAGACAGGATCGCCCACCACAGGAATAAATGGGGGTATCCGGTGTTACATACAACTGGATAGGTAAGAATCTGAGCGTGCGCTCAGAAATTACATTTTTGAAAAGAAAATCAGCTCAGACTTTTGCAGATCCCTGAACTAACCGAAGCTTACAGATTCACAGGTCAGACCCCCCTGAACAGGAGCTCCGTCTACCGCAGACATTTGCATTTAACCTGATG